GAAAGGAGCGAATGGAACGTATTGGGTTGCTGCGCGGAGCGTTCAACCCGTGGAGACGTGAGGGCCGCCCACCGTTTGGCAGCGTCCTGTCAAGCGGGGTGGGGAGCGGTGGAGTGCGGGTCGAGGCGAGACAGAGTATGAGGGCGATGCGTCCGCTCGACCCTCTGTCTTAACGCCCCAGGGAGCATCTCCAGACGAGTCGAGGCGCGTGTCCCGTCGACTAAACTCCTTGCGCGTGCACATACACCCCATACAACCTAAAAAGCACCACGGCGTACCTTAGAATCAAACGAAAATAACGTAGTGCACTACCCATCCAAATATCGAATTTCGAACCACAGTTTTTCGCGCTCACTCTCCTCTGCCATTAGGGGCCGCTCGCCTTGCATTGTGCTGCGCTCGGCTCGGCCCAGAGATGGTCGCGGCATGTGGCGCGGTCAGGCGGCGCACCCCTCGCGCAGGTTGAGAAAGCGCAGCGCAGCGCATAGAGCTCTCGGCCTCTGTTCTTCACCGCAGCAGCAGCTGGCGCCCGCCCGTCGGCCCTGCCGGTGAGTGGGAGTGAGTGAGAGGGGACGCGGGGTCCTTCTCTGCTAGCTGCCATTACGATAGGCAGATCGGTGGCTCAGTCTCCGCCGGGCACCGCCCCTCTCTATAAAAAGGAACCCTGCAAGCTGCCGCTGCTGCTGCTGCTCGCTGCGCTCCGCGGCCTCGTCGGCACATCCTCATTCGCGACCATATTGGACGGCAGCAAGCTTGCGGTGTGCCTCTTTGCGCTACTCTTTACGACTGCACAAAAAAATATATATAACAAAAGATAGAGAGAGGGGGGGATTTCATCCATACAGTCTCTGCAGTTTTTATTAGATCTCGCTTTTATTTATCTTAGAAGGGAAAAGTAATCGAAACCTCAGCCATAAGAAAGATTGCGTGTGCTCCTGGGCATCCGTCTTTTATACTTGTCGTATTTTTTATTTTTATTTTTTTCCGGTACGGTGTGGGCGAGTCGTCCGCGCAGCAGATCCATCCATCTCTATCACAGGTTGGCACCGACCGGGGGCGGTGTGCATAGGAGGGCCCATAGGGGGTGTGGCCGCCCCTCACACACTGCCGCCGCGGTGTGATGAGTCGAGGGAGGGGAGGAAGGGAGGGGAGCCCGTCACGCAATAGCGCGCCACGCCACGCGGCGCCACCCGCGCCCGTGACTTTTATGAAGCGGGCGAAGCGCGTCCGTATTCGCGCCTTACTGAGGAGTAGGGGAGGAGGAAGGGGGAATTAAAGACGGACGTATATAAAACCGGAAGGGCACTGCGACATACAAGCGCGTCCTCCCTCTCCCCTCCCTCTCTTCGTCCTTATTCCTGCTGCCCTCTCCTTGTCCCTCTTATATCCCCCTCCCCTACCCCGCGTGCGCGCGCGCGCGCGCTATTCGGTACACATATGTAATAAAAATAAAAAGGGGTCATAAAGTGGCGGTCATTATTTTGAGGAAAGCCGTGCAGTTGGGCAGGCGGCTCGCCCCGCGACCGAGGCGTCGACGAGCTCGATTTTTGTGTCCTTTTTCGTCCTCGCTGAGCCGTATGCTGCTGGTGGTGCTCACGCAATAACACGTACCCTTTGTGTGCGTTTTGATGTCGTGGATATATACAAGAAGTCGGCGCGCCTTTTTCGCTCGCGCTTGTGGGTTTTTCGCACGCATAATTTAGGGCGTGCATCGTTCGTTGTGCAGAAATTTTGTGCATGCACACGTACAAACAGAGAGTCATGGGTAAAAAAATTGGATGCGTCCGGCCGAGCTTTAGGTCTTGCTGTAGATTGATGGTACATATACGGGGTTCACGTGCACACTGCAAGGTGCGTGCACCCCTGCAGAGGTGGGCAGGGGTCGGGGCGGGGGATTGGGTGGGGATATGGGCGTCGGGGTGGGGTGGGCGCAAGGGTTGAGCTTCCACCCCTCCCTGTTATAGAACTCGGCAAATAGAAGAGGTTATTCCGGGTGGGCGATGCGAGGCCACGAGGGAGGGGCCCGTCGTGTCCCGTTACGTCCATTAGCCCCAGTGGCAGGGCGGGGTGGCAGGGCGGGGTGGCAGGGCGGGCCGGGTCAGGTGTGCACAGCCACCTCCACCACAGCACGGCCTTGTGGCGCGCGCGCGCGGGGGCCTCGGCCGAGTAGTGCCGCTTCCTCCACGTCGCCCACGACAGACGGGACCGGACAGGACCCTACACATCCTTCCCTTCTCCGCCATGTCTCTCTCGCCCTTTTATCTGCCCGAACGAGTTATGTGGCGTGCGGCCGACACAGCGCGAGGGTGCCTCCGTGACGGTGTGCGTGAGAGAGAGATGGCACCTGCGGGGGAGCTGTGGTAGCCGTGCGCCGAGTCCAGCAGGGTCCCGCGGCGGCAGGTTGGACGGCCCTTGCGGCGCCCTGCGGCGACACCCCTCGCCGACTGATAAGGCCACCTCGGGGGGTCCAGCGAGGGCTGCAGGGCGCACTGCAGGGCGCACACACGGCTCTATTTGCACGGCGTACGCGCGGCCTGGCGTGCGTGGGGGGAGTTGTTGTGAAACGCGCTTGAGAAGAAAACGGAGGGCGCGGAGGCGGGCCAGTTCTCTCTGCCCCGTTCTGCCCTGCCTACGAGCAGCGGTCTCGTCTTGTGCACGCTTCCTCCTATACTGTCAATACACCACGATGTTGCGGGTTTGCCTACCCGATCTGCCCGTAAGGCCCTCAACACTGGGGAGTATTCAGCCTGTGTACACTCGGCATGCGCCATTGACAGCGAAAGGAGCGAATGGAACGTATTGGGTTGCTGCGCGGAGCGTTCAACCCGTGGAGACGTGAGGGCCGCCCACCGTTTGGCAGCGTCCTGTCAAGCGGGGTGGGGAGCGGTGGAGTGCGGGTCGAGGCGAGACAGAGTATGAGGGCGATGCGTCCGCTCGACCCTCTGTCTTAACGCCCCAGATGGCAATAAATCGCACATAAATCGTAAGGATGTCCCTTCCTGAGAGACCCAGAAAGAGAGACAGAGACAGAGAGAGAGAGACACAGAGACAGAGAGGCAGAAAAGCACTCGAGCAATAATAGCTTAATTCAGGCTACTCCATTCTATCGTACTTAATGGTTTGATTTAATTGCCATCATTGCAATTGTGATGTTGTTTTCGGATCAATTAATCAGTAGATTGCTGACAAAGTAAGTCACTGGACTGAATTATAAATCATTGCATCGACGGATTGTTGGTTACATTTTTGCTTTTTTAATATTTGACTCGGTAAACCACTAGATTTTAACAAAAAGATTTAAAATTGGTATGTTTTGAATTTATCTGTGTGGTCACGTTTCGGTCACCTCGAGTGTTGATCAGCTACCAGGCCATGGACAGAGGCACAGCATTCTCCTTGTCGAGATGCTATCACCGCATTTCGTGAGCGAGTATTTGTAGGAGTGGTCTTGCGCCTCCAGGCTGGACCCACGCCTAGAAACGTGCCAAACTAAATAACGAACTGAGAATCATAACATTTTCATATCTGATGATGTTTTGCGCCGTTTGCCCTTTGTCCCGAGGCACATGTCGGTGGGCCTGAAAAGACGATGCTCTTAATATGTAAATATGAAGTTTTAGTTTTTGTTCTTTAACAATTCTTCCACTAACTCGAGGGTAGCTGATGAACCTCATGGACCACTAACAGGCGCGCTGCGCACGCGCCCAGCGGTGTGGCTGATTCGCCTAAAATTACTAACCCATTTCCGTCGCTTTCGCAGCCACAGATCGGAGACGTCAGAAACCAAGACATCGAGCAGCAGCACGTCCAGCGGTTCAATACGAGACTCCGGCCCCGGTCTATTAGGCTCAACAAAGTTTCCAAACTTCCCTCCAATGGGCTCCTTCTCCGAAAAATTCTCCAGGTGCTTATTAAATTTAATATTCATTACCAACTACGTCACCCTATAGTTGAATGAGGCCTTTGCCATGTCTTGCGGATGCCAGTCTTGAATTTTGTTTGGATATTTGTTCTGTATTGAATGGAAATCGTGATTGGTCATAGTAGTCTTGTCCTTATCTTTAAGCTTATAGCATTCAAATAAAAATAGGGTGGGTTAAAAAATACCTCTATTGATCTAATCTCTACCGTGATACTTTGTAAGTATGAAGTATTTGTGCGGTAAGTTTAACCAGTGTGGTGAGTGGTTTTTAAAAAAATAACAGAGTTTGGTTTTGTTTAACGTTAAGAGTAACCCTCTCAACTCCTCATACAATAACAAGTGTAGACGTTTTTGGTGGTGTTGTAATCTTAATTTGTTGAAATATTACGTGGATAACATTTCTGTCATCCTGATGTGAAAACAAAAAAATAATTAAGAAAAATCCCATGACCTTCTGATAAGAGCATGCCGAAGAATGCTGAATCAATTTTATCAAAATCATTTACGCTTGCATTGGCATCATAACTGCCATCTCGACCCCACGAATAATATCTCATATCTGTGAGGGTCAACGTGGGTCGATTGAAATGTCTCTGAAAGTCGACTCGAGTCGATCGACATAATGGAGGAAAACCGCATGGCTCACTTAATAAGTACGATTGATAACATCGTACATTCCACGTGTCATTGGTGCTCAGGCCGACACTTGCGTTGAACAATAATAGTTTATTACAAATTCTCTTTAAGTGTTGCCCGGTCTGACCGTGTCGCCTCTGTTTGCAGCACCACCAGTTCGTCCAACACCACGCAACAGAACCAGGGAGTGAGCCCCGCGGCCGGCGCCGGCGGCCCCAACACCTGGCTGGACGGCCTCCACAGCCCCCTCATCCAGGAGGACGGCGGCGACAAGAAGCTCAAGCTGCGCTTCGACGTCTCGCAGTACGCGCCCGAGGAGATCGTGGTCAAGACCGTCGACAACAAGCTCCTGGTGAGTGTCCCTGTCACTGAGTGCCCCGCGCACCACGCCGAGCACCAACTCGTGACTTTGAACTTCGCTCCGCTCCGCTGCACACTCTCTGTACCCGGCCGGCGCGCCGCTCTCTGCAAGGTCATCAGCTCGCAGCCCACCGCGCCGGCCGGGGGAGCATCGCGCGAGGGGTACTTCACTCTAAAAACTTAGTGTGCACCCTCAAAAAATGTCAGAAAAGAAAACAGAAAACCAGAAAAGTCGGTGTCCGCTTGAATTTATAGTGGAAGTAGTACCCCTCGGCATCTCACGCCACGAACTTCTCACAGCCACCTCGTAGCGACGCCCTTCCACCTCATGGCTATCTTCTCCCGCCTCGTAAACTCCAGCCCCCTCGCGCCGCACAACTCGGCCGGCTACGCCCACGCGCCGCCGGCCGCGCCTCCCCGCCCCGCCGCGTCGCGCCGCGCCTTGCAGACGACAATGTGAGACAATGTCTGCCCCGCCCATAAGGGCCTCCTCGGCGCGACACGGCCGGGGAGAAAGTACTCACTGGCAGTCATTCTGCGAGAACGCGGAATTATAATTGCGATGCAAGTCTGCGGGTAAACCTCCCTCCCTCCCTCCCTCCCCCCGACGGAAACTTTGGAATCTCTTGGGCACTTCACGTTCGCATAAGTTTGACAGCAACGGCGGCGGCCAGGCAAGAATGTTTTGGCAGGTACGAGCTCTGCTGCTGTGGAGTGCGGAGGGCAATGGACTGGAGGAGGGGCCCGTGGCTGGGTAGAGTTTGGGCCTGGCCTTGGGGACACTGGTGGCAGCCGTGCCAGAGGACCATTCAGGCAGTAAAACAGCAGTCATTGCCGCCCGATTGTGCAAGCGTAAGCCCAAACAAGCGTGCAAGTCTGGAGGCCATGTGTGAGAGACCCGGTGACATTTATGACGAAAAGCAGCCGGTGCCCAATAAGCGCACGAACAAGCACACGTGCAAGTACACTTACTTCTAAACCACGAAACTCCTTCCAGCTCGAGGGAATGCCGGCGGAACTCTCCCCCGAGTCCTTGTCCCAGTTGCCCCGGTTCATTCTGCCAGGTCGGCCCTAGTTGGTCATACCAGCTCGCCGGGACTCCGGTCGACTCCGGTCGGCTCCGGTCGGCTCCAGTCGGCTTCAGTCGGCTCCAGTTGGCCCAGTCGGCTCCAGTGACACAACGGCGGGCCGCCAAACATGGAGTGCGATCGGGCGGGACGGGGCGCTGGGGCGTGGCGGGGCGTGGCGGGGCGTGGCGGGGCGCGGCCGGGCGTGGCGGGAGGCATCTCCAGGCGTGGCGGGGCGTGGTGGGGCGCGCCCACTCCTGAAGGGAACCCGTGCACGCTCCAGAGGCTGCCCTATGGCGGCTGGATATGACGTTTGGGTGTCATACCCCTCCTGGCTGCAAGGCCGTGCGTCGCCTCCCCTCCCTCCTCCCCTCTCCCCTCACCAAATGAAACGCGAGAACGGCCATCAATTTGTCTCTGTTTACATTTCAATGCTGCCCGTCGGGGTGCGATGGATGGCGAGCGATTCGTCCAGCTAGGCCTGTCATCATTTTTATACGCCCCGATTATTTTGTCCGTCCATACGAAGGTCCGTCTATCTCTCATCGTCGGTCGTTTAATTTACCTATACTTTTATCGTCCCCATTCCGATGATTATTTCTTTGGCGTGGTGCGCGGCCAATGAGATGCCCACCCACGCACCGGGGGGTGCGCACCGGAACGAGGGACCGGAACCCGCACCGGAAGTAACGCCCCAGAGAGGACAGCAGCAGCGCTCGGACCTCGCCCCCTGCCGCCGCCGATCAGACAGGGACGAGGGCGTTGTTACAGCAGCTCCTTGGCATTCTCGGTCTCCATCCTCTTCTTCCTCCTGGTTCTTCTCCCCATCATCCGCCTTCCTACTGTACCTCTTCCCTCTACCCCTCCCAATAATTCTCTCAAGGACTTTTCGTATGCAACGCAAGCAGGCTGGGATCAAGTCGCACTAGAGCTAAGTAGCGTAATTATTGAGAATTATTGCGCCGCGCTAACGCTTCTCAGTTTTGCAAAGACGGTGGAAGGGGGTGGAGGTAAGACGCTGGAGGACCCGAAAGCGAACTCTCGGTCCTGTACAAGACCGCAGAGCTCACACATTATAATGGCTCCCCACCCAACCTCCAACCCACCCC